TAACCAAGGCAATTCTTAGTAACAAAAACAAAGCTAGGGGGGAGTTCTCACCCTACCAGACTTTAGGCTATACTACAAGGCCATAGTGCTCAAAACAGCATGGTATTGGCACAAAAAGAAAGACCTTGACATTTGGAACTGAATAGAAAACCATGAGATGAAACTAACATTTTAGAGCCACCTGATATTTGATAAACTAAAGATGAATATATGCTGGGGAAAAGAATCCCTATTCAATAAATGGTGCTGGGAGAACTGGATATCCACATGTAAAAGACTGAAACTGGACCCGTACCTCTCACCACCCACAAAAATGGTTCAAGATGGATAAAAGAGTTAATCTAAGGCATGAGACAATAAAAATCCTTGAAGAAAGTGTGAAGTAAACACTTGAAGATACTGGCCTGGGGAGAGGTTTTATGAAGAAGACTTCCATGGCAACTGCAACAACAACAAAAATAAACCAATGGGACTTAATTAACTGAAAAGCTTCTGTATAGCTAAGGTGACGACAACCAAAGCAAATAGACAGGCTTGGCACCTGCATGGAGACTGGTGGGTTCAAGCCTGGCCCAGGCCTGCTAAACAATGACAACTGCAACACAAAAACAAAAACAAAGCAAATAGACAACCTACATAATGGGAAAGGATATTTGCATATTTTCAATCAGAAAAAAGCTTAATGACTAGGCTCTACAGAGAACTCAAATTCATCAACAAAAAAAGACTCCCATATATCACTGGGCAAGAAACATGAATAGAACCTTCTCTAAAAAGGACACATGAATGGCTAACAAACATATGAAAAAATCCTCATGGTCCCCTCCACACTGAACCCCAGAGTCAAAGCATTCTATGATAGACATACTTTTATCTGACAATGCGAATGTTACTTTTTTTACATTATTATTATTGTTCAATATTTCTCTGCAGCAATCATCTGGTTTCTTTTCTGAATGTATTTATCTTTGTTTGTTCTTTACGAGGTTTTTGTTTCTAGTCATTATCTTAAACATTGCTATTGTTATTAAATCGTAAGCCTTTTTAATTTTGTGAGGGCAAAAAGTGGAAACCAAATAAACACATGTACATGTATAGAGAAAATTTAAAAAAAATGCTTATCGTCCCTAATCATCAGAGAAATGCAAATCAAAACTACCCTGAGATACCACCTAACCCCACTGAGAATGGCCCACATCACAAAATCTCAAAGCTGCAGATGCTGGTGTGGATGTGGAAAGAAGGGAACATTTTACACTGTTGGTGGGACAACAAAGTAATACAGCCTTTTTGGAAGAAAGTATGGAGAATCCTTAAAGAACTCAAATTAGACCTCCCATTTGATCCTGCCATTACTAGGCAGTTACCCAGAAGAAAAAAAATTCATTTTATAACAAGGACATTTGCACTAGACTGTTTATCACAGCTTAGTTTACAATTGCCAAATTGTGGAAACAACCTAAATGCCCATCAACTCAGGAATGGATTAACAAGCTCTGGTGTATATATATATATATATGGAGACTTTTCATCTTTTGTATTAACATGGATGGAAGTGGAACACATTCTTCTTAGTAAAGCATCACAGGAATAGAGAAGCAAGAATGTACTCAATTCTAATATCAAGGCAGTAGATGAGCTAATACATGGGGTGGAGGGGGGGATCTAATACATGGGGTGGAGGGGTAGGGGAATGAGAGAGCAGGGAGAGGGGAGGATAGAAAGGATGGGAGTCATGGAGTATATGGCACACGTCTTAGGGGTGGGACACAATTATAACAGGGACTTTATCTAACAAATGCAATCAGTGTAACCTAATTCTTTGTGCCCTCAGTGAATCCCAAACAATAATGAAAAAAGATTTTGGAGAGTCAAAAGTCACCTGGAGATTTCTGACTGCTCTGTGAGGGTGGAGGATTGGCACCCCTAATCCCTTTGAGCCCAGGAGTTTGAGGTTGCTGTGAGCTATGACACCATGGCACTCTATCCAGGGCAATAGAAAAAAAAAGTCAACTGTGGTATAAACAATAGGAAGACAAAATTTTTAAAATACTTTTTGTATTACCTCCCCAAAATTATACAGATAGTCCTTGACTTACAATGGCTTGACTTAAGATTTACAACTGTATGATGGTTTTATTGTGTATTAAATGCATTTTCAACTTACAATATTTTGATCTACAATGGGTTTATCAAGAGGCAACCTCATCATAATTTGGGGAGCATCTATACTTAGAAATATATTTAACAAAACATGTATAGGATATTTTTGTTCAAATTACATAATAAAATGCTGATGAAAGAAATATAAGAACTGAAAACTTGAGAGAGATATCATGGTCTTAGATGGGAAGATTAAAATAATAAAAATATCTAGTCTTCCCAAATTAATCTATAAATTTAACACAATTCAATCAAAATTCCAATAGGCATTTTTGTAGACAGGAAAAAACTGACTTAAAAAAAATGGCAAACAGACTTGCCAAAAAAATTTTGAACTAAGAATTAAGTTGTAGGAATCACACCACCTATTTTTAAGATACCCTGCTATAGTCAATGTGGTATGTTATCAGGGAGGGAATATACACATAGGTCAATGGAACAGAATGGGAAGTCTAGAAATAGACTCACACAAATATGATTGAGTTTTGACAAAGGGGTAAAGACCTTTGGAAGATATTTTCAATTAAATGATGCTAGATTAACTGGACAGCTACATGCAGAAAGATGAAGTTTAACCTGAACTTCATACATTACATACAGATTTACATGAAATGGATTGTGCCTACAGATAAGATGTTAAACAGTAATGCTTTTAGAAGACAACACAGGAGGAAATCTTCATGGTTAGGAATGTCTTAGACACGGCATCAAAAGTATCATCCATAACATTTTAAAAAGATGAATCAAAATTCATCAAAATTAAAAACCTTTGTTTTGTGAGAGACACTATTAGGAGAATGAAAAGACCAGATAGGGATAAAATATTTAGCAATTATGTATCAGACAAATGACTTATAAATTGAATATATAAAGAATTCTCAAAAGCAGACATAGAATTCAAAAAATGGAAAAATATTTGAAAAATCAATTCATCAAAGAGGACCTATGACCGTAAAACAAGCACATGAAAAGATGTTCAAATTCATTAGCCCCTAGTGAAATGCAAATTAAAAACCATAATGAGATAGCACCACATACTGATGAGAATGGAGTCAGAAAAAAAAAATCAACAATATCAAGTGCTGATGAGGATTGGAGAAAACAAAACAGCACAGCCCTCTGGAAACAGGCTGGAGAAACTCAGGCACATTCCCCATCCGACTCAGCAATCTCACTTGTAGGTACTTGCCCTTATGTCCACACAAAAATCTGTACACAAGTATCTATAGCAGTTCTATTCATAATTGTCAAAAATGAGAAACAGCTCAAACACTCCTCCTTGAGTGAATGGGGATGCAAAGTGTGGTCACTGTCTTATGAACTGTGACTCAGCAGTAAAGAGGAAGAAACCCTGACACACAGTGACACCCATGACTCTCAAAGATGCCACCCAGAGTGAAAGAAGTTGGCCGTCCAAATCACACACTGCTATGCTGCCTGACATTCGAGAAAAGACAAAACGATAGTCACGAAGTGTTTCTCAGAGGTTAGGGAAGGAGGGAAGTTACAGCTGCAAAGGAGTAGCCTGGAAGCATCTGGGGGATGATGGACTCTCCTGGGTCTTGGGTAGGTGGTGGTCGCATGAATCTATGCATGTGTTAAAATTCATGTTAACTATGTAACAAAAAAAGGGGCAACTTTACTGTACACAAATTCTTAAAAAATTAAAAGCAATGGCTGGGTCATCAGGTCAACCCTTAAGTATAAATCTCCAAACTTTCTTGAAGAGGTCACTTTCAAAAAACAAAAAAACCAAAAGGCCCTGGCCAAGGCACAGGCTCTGAAGCAGGGTGGCCCCTAGTTGGTGCGGGAGGAAGGGGATGTTCTGGCCAATATGGAAGCACAGAGAGGGCAGGTCTCACAATGGTGGGAGTCTGGACTGGAGGGGACCTGGGAGCCACTTGCTGGAGGTGAAAGGTGTCTGTGTGCCATGTGGACAAGAAAGCTTTAGCAGGCAGCCTTTGCTGCATTTGCAGACAGATGCAGAGGAGTGGAAGGCCCTGGGGACTGGGGGATGGGTGGAAGGGTGCTGTCATAATTCAAGAAGCAGAAATCTTCTTTATCAAGTCCGTCTCAGAAAGGGATGCTCCCAACTGGCAATCATTGCACACTCCCAAGTCTTGACAGTTGATGGTGAGGATCAGGAAGAGTTGGGATCTCTCCAAAAGCCCCAGAGAAGCTACGGCAGCCCTGGCCACACCAGAAAGGCCAGGGGAGGAGGGTTCAGGCGCAGTGAAAAGGCTTCCTGCACAGAGCAGGGAGCCACCCAGGGGAATGTTTACAGTGGGTGCTCAGATGAGGATTCAGAGCCCAGTCCAGGAAAACATATGTTGTAGATACTCCCCATACACTTGGAGGTTTAAATAAATAAAGACAAGTGGCTCAAAACCCCCTCAGTCCCTCTTGGAGCATCCTGAGACATTCTAGGCTCAGAAGTCAGTGTTAGATGATCAGCTGCCCTGGCCTCCACGGAATTCCTCCTGGAATTCTGAAAACTTCTCTGATGCTACTGACATGGATCGGATGTCAGGGAAAGGCGGGGCAAATTTTGACTTAAAAGAGTCCAGATGTACATTCCTTTGGTACTAGGAAAGTCCAGCAAATTCCACATCTTTCCAAGCACTGACAAGCACGTCCTGAGCCTCAGAAACACAAAACAGGTGCTAAGAGGAATGCGGAGGGCAAGGGTCCTTCTCACGGCAGCTGCCAGAAATGGGCCCTCCCCTGCTCCCGCCACTGTGGCCTTCCTGCAGAGAGAGCCCTGACTAGGGGTCAAATTGGGCCTGAGGCCACCCCACGCTGCGGTGGGGAATCAGTGCCACCCTGAAATCACCGACCTGGGATTCAGCGTTCAGGGTGATGACTTCCTCTTCGTGGTCCAGCAGTTTGCAGGCGTATGCGATGTTGATGGCCGTTTCTTGTTTGTCGCCAGTGAGAACCCAAATCTGCAGGCCTGCTTCCTGTAATTTAGTGATGGTTTCAGGGACTCCCTCCTGCAGACGGTCTTCAATCCCTGTGGCACCTGGTAAAAGGTACAACAGTGTGCGTGAACCCCTCCCCAGGAGCCCCCACGTTCTCCTGGGGCGCAAATCCCACACCCCAAATACAGCAGAGCGGGTGCTGGCATGGCCCTGTTGAAGGGACCTGCTCAGGGCTCAGCAGCCAGTTGTCTGTCACTCGGTGACAGCAAGTTCCATCCAGAAGCGTGCTCTGGTGATTCACCATTTCAGCATGGTGGTGGGCACTTCCCGTCTCTCAACGTGACTCACTCAAGAATGTGTCAGAATAGCTGTGAGTCACCGAACAGAACGATGTGCACTGACAGCAATGTCCCCCAGTCACTTTCCAACACACAGCTAACCTGTCACTGCACAGATGACCTGGAAATGGAGTGCATGGGAAGGGCTCTGCAATGTCACTACTCCCAGAGCTAAAAATGTTCTAAAAATAACATCCCATGTAAAGTTTCTGGTAAATGAAATTCAAAAATTTTTGTTTTCAACAATGGTTTTTACCAGTTGCTGTCAAAATACCCTGTACAGACAAATCCATTACTTCTTGAAAATGGCATTATACTGAATATACTTTTCCTACAAACATGAGGAATTCAAGAAGCAGGTTTCCCATTTTTGGTCTTAGTATATTGGGAAAAAACATTATTCAGTGCAGAAATATGCTTGAGGTTGCCGTAGGCTTTTCATTTGTTTACAACCTGGTGAGATGGTTTCTCTCTTCACTGTTCCAGAAGTGAGCTGTGAGACAGAACTGAGGCACAGCACACACACAGAGTGCACCTTTCTTAAATATGCCTTTGGATGCACTTTCGCAAACTACATCCCTACGTAATCAGCCCTGAAGGCTACGTGGGAAGGGTCCAGAAAGGGAGAGGAGACATTGCAGCCGTGCTGCACTCTGCTCTGAACCTGAAGGCCACGGAGCCTCTGTGGAAACATCAGAAAGGGCTTGGGGGCTTAAGACCTGCTCAAACACAAAGCTCGCCCCGCAAACACTCCCTGTGAGCAGATCCCTGGCACCAGGAGCTGCGGGGCATCTGGTCTCGGCTTCTCTCCCATCCCCAGTCTTATCGCTGCGTCATGGCACAGAGTAGTACTGAACTGAGGAACAAGGTTATGGGAAGTGCATCTGCTTCAGGAGGAAATGCGGGTAGGAGACCAAATGACTCAGAAAGAGCAGCCCTTTTGATGACCTGGAGCCCAGGGTCTTTCTTTGGCTTTCCAGGGTAGCCTGTTTGAATGTAGTTTATATGACTTTGAGTAAAGGCCACCTTCTGTATGACCTGACACTGGGGACAGACCGGCGTTTCTGAGCTTCATAACACAGGGAGCTGGGACAGTTCAGAGCCAACTTACTACAACTCTATGTTGCTGTGCTTTGGGATTAGGCAGCATTTAACAGGAGGGGAAGGGATTTTGCCAGTAGAGAGATTTCAGGTGACATTTAGAGAAACCAGCAAGAACACTAAGGAACATAAACAGAACATTGTCCTTTGAACTTAGGTTTGTTTTTTTTTTTTGAGACAGAGCCTCAAGCTGTCACCCTGGGTAGAGTGTTGTGGCATCACAGCTCACAGCAACCTCCAACTCCTGGGCTCAAGTGATTCCCCTACTAATCTCCAGTAGCTGGGATTACAGGCACCCACCACAATACCGGGCTATTTTTTGGTTTCAGCCATCATTGTTGTTTGGCAGACCCAGGCTGGATTCAAACCTGCCAGCTCTCGAATGGCCTTTACTCAAAGTCATATAAACTGTATTCAAATAGGCTACCCTGGAAAGCCAAAGAAAGACCCTGGGCTCCAGATCATTAAAAGGCCTGCTCTTTCTGAGTCACTTGGTCTCTCTATCCGCATTTCCTCCTGAAGCAGGTGCCCTTGTTTCTCAGTTCAGCACTATTCTGTGCTATGACAACAATGAGACCGAGGATGGGAGAGAAGCCGAGACCAGCTGCCCTGGCAGCTCCTGGTGCCAGCGATCAGGTGTATGTGGCTGGTGCCTTAGCTGCTTGAGCCACAAGTGCCGAGCCTGAACTTAGGTTCTTTCCCAGAACCTTATGGAAAAGAAAATTCCAAGAACAAAGTGTGAATGGTGACCCTCTCCACTAAAGATAGTTATTTGTGGTTCTCCAGCGCTATTTAATATAAGCACTTAAATGAAATAATTTAGAAAGGGGTACTGGCTTTGGAATATTAAAAATATAAATGGCTTACTTAATGTTTCTCAAAAATAAAGCTGAGGAATTGGAACCCCGTGCCCCAAATGCCCTGTAACACTGCGATGGTGGCTGGCTCCTACATTCTTCAGCTCAAGCCTTGTCATTTGAAACATAAATGTATAAAGTGGCAGGAGATGGCAAGGGGTTAATAACTTCCCTTCCCTCCTGTTAAATGCTGCCTGACCCTGGAGCATAGTGACACAGAGTTGTAGTAAGCTGGCTCTGAACTGTCCCAGCTCCCTGTGTTATGAAGTTCAGAAACGTCAGGTCATACAGAAGGTGGCTTTTACTCAGTCATATAAACTGCATTCCAACAAACTACCCTGGAAAGCCAATAACTGGCTTGTGGGAGGGAGGCTGATTTATTGCATTTGTCCATTTCTGTGGGACAAATACTCCCTCCCACCTTGCCTGAATTCAATCTATCAACATAGTATTGAAAGGCAATGTGAAATTCCTATAAATTTATAAAAATTAGAAAAAATGTACTGCAAAATTCTTGAAAAAAATTTTTTTGTTTGAGACAGAGTCTTACTTTCTCACCCTCGATAGAGTGCCGTAGCATCATAGCTCATAGCAACCTCAAACTCTTGGGCTCAAGTTATTCTCTTGCTTTAGCCTCCCAAGTAGCTGGGACTAGAGGCACCCACCACACCTGACTGTTATTAGGGATAAGATCTCACTTTGGCTCAGGCTGGTCGGACAATCCACCCACCTCAGCCTCCCAGAGTTCTAGAATTATAGGCATGACCCACTGTACCTGGCCCAAAATTCTTGAAAATTTATCAACGGGCTCTTACCAGCAGGCTTGAGCAGGCTCTAGTACACAGCTGGTACCTACTAAAGGCATCCAGCAGTTCCCCAACTGATGCCTCTCAGGGCTGTTTTTTAATATACACTCAGAGGGAAGCAATCCGCCCACAGACAACTGTGTAATGCGACTGAATCAGAAATCTGAGAAACCTTGATAGCCAAGACACTATGCCCCACTCCAGCAGACAGAACTGGGGAATCAGCATAAAATCCCACTTTTAGACGTTCAGACAGTTGCCCAAGTAAAAATTTATGAATCAAAGCAAGGGCAGTTTCCATGACAAGGACCTGGGAAGATGAGTTGATCTCAAGCTCTCTATGGGCCTACACAGTACTGGGACTCTTAAAAACTCAGAATATGGCCTTGGCGCTTATAGCTCAGCAGCTAGGGCGCCAGCCACATACACTAGTGCTGGCGGGTTCAAATCCAGCCTGGGCCTGCCAAACAATGACAACTACAACCAAAAAATAGCTGGGTGTTGTGGCAGATGCCTGTGGTCCCAGCTGCTTGGGAGGCTGAGGTGGGAGAATCGCTTAAGCCCCAGAGTTTGAGGTTGCTGTGAGCTGTGACGCCATAGCACTCTACTGAGGGCGACCTAGTGAGAGTCTGTCTCAAAAAAAAAACAACAACTCAGGATATGTCAACAGAACTACAGCATCTGGGCCAAGAGGGGGGATGGACAGATGCCTGGTCAGCAGGGAGTCTGTGGGGAAGAGGCCAGCCGGGCCGTGGGGGGTGTGGAGGCAGGAAGGTGCAGCTAGCTGCCTGCACCTGCCTGGTTCCCGGTGGCACTCATTCCCTTTACCCTCATGAGAGGCTGCAATGCTGAGATCACTATCCCTACTCCCCTTACAGCAGATTAGGAAATTGGGATGTAAAAGAGACAGAGCCACTTCAAGCTCATATAGCTAGTAAGTCAGGGCTGAACAACCAAGTCAGGCCTCCAGGCCTCTGAGAGAAGGCGGGGTAGAGAAGGGACAGCTTGGTGACCACATCTTTGTCCTCAAATAGCCAAGGTCTCTGCACATGGAAAAAGGAAGAGATTTTGTCTGCATTGCTGCAGGGAGTGGGGGTGGGACCAGCACCCCTGGGTGAAGGCACAGGAGACAGATTTCACTGCATCTGAGAGGCCAGAGCTGGCCAGGAGGAAAGCTGCTCCCAGGATGGAGCCCCACAGAGAAGACAGAAACAGCTGGTCAAAGAGGTTGGGCAGGAGTGTCTGGAGAACCTGTGGACAACTCCTATCCTGTGGGCTGCATGGTCTCTCTGGGCAGCCTGGTCCAGTGAGAGAGGCTAACTCAGCCCTAAAAGCCTATATAGCAGGAACAGCCATTTGTGAGGTACTCAATTCAGATCCAGGGGTTTGCTGGTGAGGCCGCTGGTCCTCTGGATCCCAAGGCTTTTTGAGACGCACAAGGCCTCCTATGAGACATAAAGTGTACGCATGTCCACATTACACCTAGTGTACATCATGTTATTATTAATAAATATAAACTAGACTTTATATGAGGTATGTAGCTATAGATAGGTAGGAATCTCAACTCCTTTGCACAGAAAGTGAGGCCAGGTGAGTGACAGCCCTTCTGGGTTAAGATGAACCTCCCAGGAGGGAGGATCCTTGTAGCAGGATCTGATGATGGCAGCCCACACAGAAGCAAGTGCACCCTCCAAACTGGCTCCTGTGCAGAGCACATATACTCTCACTCCAAAAATTTGGCTCAAGGAGTAGGGTGCCAGCCCCATATACGGGAGGTGGCAGGTTCAAACCCGGCACCGGCCAAAAACTGCAACAACAACAAAAAATTTAACAGGTGGCTCAATGAATACAAAATCAATTAAATATTTAAATATTGAATTAAACATTAAAATAAACATTAAAGTAATAAATACCTTAATTTATTACTAACTGGCATTTACTAAATGCTGATATGAACACGGTGGGAAATATGGACTCAGTTTTGTAAAAAATGAGCCCATCTTCCGTTCGCCCACAGTAGGTCTGTGAAATATTCACAAGATGGGACAGACAGCGGTTTCTGGGGCCCCAACATTTATCTCTGCTTCATGGGGCGGGGGTGGAGAGTGAGGTGGACAGAGGAACTCTTTCAACTATCTGCTGAGCAGCCTGGCCTCTCCCCTCTATTTTCAGTGGGAAATCAGGGTTTAAGGAGAGACAAGTCAGCTGCCGTCTGGGGGTACCTAGTGGGCAGCACCTGAGCCTCACAGGAATGGGTGTGGGGAGAAGGTTCAATCTAGAGCCCTCCAGCCCCGGGGTGTGCTAGAGCCAGGCAGCTCTTCCACTGAGCCCAGGTGTACAGAGCCATGACACCTCCACTGCTGGCGGCTCTCAGAACTCAACCTGGCTCCAGGGGACACACACTCGCAAGCTCATTACCCAGAAGATGCAGGTTGGTCTCCAGGCGAATGGCAGACTGGAAGAGGAGTTCCTCGCGGTTGTCCACAGAGGATTCTGCTTCTAGGTGGCTTTGTAACCAGCAGGCATACTCCTCTTTGCTCAGAACCTAAGTGAGACACAGGGTAAGGGCCGCGCCAGGCGCTCCACACTGCTGTGGTGGCCACCAGCAGGTGTGCCCTGGTGGAGGTGGCGCCACTCACCCTCTTGGCGATACACAAGGTGCGCAGGCCTTCTACTGCGTACAGGTTGAGGAAATTCTGGGTCTTGCTGCGGATCTTTTTTTGATGTCTTCCTCTGGCATCATCTGGGTTGGAGCACAAGCAGAGACACAGGTAAGAACGGCAGCCCCCAAGAATGGCCCCCAGCCCCCAGAGTGGTCTCATGTCTATTTCATCCCTTGCAAACAGTACACACCTTTTCATCTGGAGTTCAAAATAAAAATTAGCTGTTATTTTTATAAAAGAACCTCATCAAAGGCACATTTGCGGCTGTTTCTAGCATGTTTGTTAAAATGAGACGCTCTCGGAAATAAAAACCTCATGGGAAGCCCCGTGGAGTCCTCCCCTCTAGCCTGTTACATGGAGGTGTGTGCGTTCTTCTCGTTAGTGAAAAATCGTCCCTAACAGAAAGTGATGTTTCTATCCTAAGAACATCCTTCACTAGTGATGTTGCCAGATAAAATTAATGACATCTGAATCCAGAATAAAGCAGTCTCTTACTAAGAAAATTTAACTGAAATTCAAATTTAACCAAATATGCTGTTTTGTTGGCTAATCTGGAAACCTCTCTGGTCAGCCATAAGGCCGCTGTCTGGGAAGGCCTGGCTGGTATTTTAAGTCACCCCAGGATAAACTGGACATGGCAAAAATCTCCTAGATGGAGGTGCGTTCCCCATGGGGGCAACAGAGCCTTCCAGGAGGTGATGATTTGTTCCTGCAGATGAAAAAGTCTGACTCTTTCACATACAAAGCAGATACACAGTGCATGTGTGGCATTAAAATGTCATGAGAAAGGCAGCACCTGTGGCTCAAAGGAGTAGGGTGCCGGCCCCATATACTGGAGGTGGTGGGTTCAAAACCAGCCTTGGCCAAAAACTGCAAAAAAAAATGTCATGAGAAGAGAATTAGAAAAAACCTGTCAGAAAAGTGTCCTGAAACACGTTTTTGGTGGGATTACAAACTAAGACAGCCTCTCTGGAAAGAAGTTTGGGGAATCCTCAAAGAGCTAAGTAAGAGTAGACCTTCCACTGGATCACACAATCCCATTACTAGGTATGTACCCAGAAGAATAAATATCATTTTTCCATTAGGACATTTGCACTAGAATGTTTAGCACAGCTCAATTCACAATCACCAAAATGTGGAATCAACCCAAGTGCCCACCAACCCAGGAATGGATTAACAGGCTGTGGCATATGTATACCATGGAATACTATGCAGCCATAAAAAAGACAGAGACTTTACATCTTTTGTATTAACCTGGATGGAGGTGGAATACATTCTTCTTAGTAAAGAATCACAAGAATCCAATGTGCCCAATAATAACATTCAAATGGTAGATGAGCAACTACATGCCCACACGAGGAAAGAACACAATTAAATTCAAGTGGGGGGAGGGGGAAGAAGGAAGAGGATGGTGTGCGCTCACCTAATAGGCAGAATGGAGGAGGAGAAAGGAGAGGAAAGAAGGAAGGAGAAAGAAGAAAGTATTTCTGTTGTCTGTGGGAGAGGGGAGTGCAGGGCTGTGATGCTGAGATTAACCAAGACAGTCAAAAGAAAAAGTACTGAGGCACCCCTCAGGACCCTGGGCAGCCCGGATGAGGGTGGACACTGGGGTGTTTCTGTGTGGGGCCATCTGCGCTGGGTCTGGGAATAGGGAGCACCTGGCCCTGCTACCCCCACCTCCACACACACACACACACACACACACACACACAGGTGCCACTCTGGTTGAGTCCTTGCTCCTCAGTCTTGGGTGACTTCTCCTTCACAGATACCTGCTACAACCACGGCTGGGCCGTCACTGCAGGAAACAAGACTCTGCAGTTGGTGGGACTGGTTCTTTCTGAGTGCCTAGATGGCCTCATACTCATGGGGATACAGGTGGGCGGAAGGAACTCAAGCTCCACAAAGACCATCACTGAGGAGCTGGGGAATCCTAAGGAGACAATATTGGGGAGCTAGCACGTAGACCCTGGAGGGAACTGGTCAGCCTATCTCTCTTGCACTTGCTGGGGGGAGCTGGCAGCTGCTGGTTTCACACTAAAGGCAGACAGAGCTCACACTGCATTTTAGGTGGTGCTCATACAACATCAGCCCATTTTTTCTGATACTCAACAGCAAGCCAGTTTTACTCTACAGTAAAGGGAAGAATTTCCTGTAAAGTGGGTTCCTTGAGTAAGGAGCAGCACCACACACAGAGGTGGGACCAACACTGCTCAGCATCTCTGCTGCTTGGCCTGGATGTCACCAAGGGGTCTGGGCTGAAAGACTCTGAAGCCGCATCTGGGTCCTAGAGGGGTTGGTGGCACAGCATCAGACAGAGATTGCTCCTGTCATGGTCTGTAAAGATGACTTGCATGCCCACTGGCCGAAGGCACAACAGGGCCGAGACAGCTGTGCCTGCCTGATGGCTGCCCTTGGAGTCCCCACTAGGAGGCCACTGATGGTGACAGCCACAGCCCATGGGCAGGCCCTCAAAGGGAGGAGGGTGTTGAAATTGCCCCGAGTGATATTTCCACTACCTCTACCCTTTACAAACGATATTTACCCAATATAGAGCCTGAACTTGTTAATATGATAAACTAAAGTGACTTCTTGCTTGTACATGGATGCGTTCCTTCCATGAAAGAAAGTTTACTGAGCTCCTGAGCAGCAGCAGCGATCCAGTGGGCTACGCAGTGGGCCATGGCCAACGGCTCCATGCTGGGGAAGGCAGAGCAGCCTGAGGGTCACGCCTTGAAGGCCACACAAGGCAGCCAACCCCATCAAACCACAGGCAAGTCAATGTTAACGAAGGGATCTACAGACGTCGTGTGCCAATGTTATACCAGTCACTGTGCTTCGGGCTTGTATGGGGGTTTTCTCTGAGGGTGGCACTGTGATTTCCTTAGCTGATGGGACACTGAGGCACAAAGAGTGAGTGACTTGTCCAGGGTCGCCCAGCCCATAAGTGTAGACCTGGGATTGGGACAGAGGTCTGTGGTTACAGGCTGGGGTAGAGCCCCTGCTTTCTTCCCAGCACCACACCGCTTCTTGGCAGGGCAGGTAAAACATGGCCACAGCCTGCTTATGCAACACGGTCACGTCCACTATTGGCTTAGCCAACTCCTGCTCCTTCTCTTGAAAGTGTTGTGGCCGTGTTGGAGAGAGATGTCAGGTTAACTCCAGAGACGATGCTTGTGTGCCCTTCTCCATGTCATCACCTGCACACAGGTAGAGAGCTGGGCCACAGTGCTCTGCCTCCCAGGCACAGAGAGTCACCTGTAACAAGCCTGGCACCACACACCTGCCACTCCCCAGGTAAAGTTGAATGGTTTGTGCTTAAGGACAGGGTATACCAGGTGGAGGCTTTGGGGCCATTCTACAGCCCTTCTCTTGGGAAACCACTGGGGTCTCTGGAGTTCCCAAATCTTAACTTGCCTAGTGCTGACACGTAGAACTCCTCAATCAAACCCGACTTTGCTTACAAAGTCTCACAGAAAGGTAGAGATCAACACTAACAGTTGATTTTTATGGCAGTGTCAGCACCTGGCCTTTCTGTGATGCAAGAGATCTGAGGCTCTGTTCTCTCTCATCTGCCATTATTGAGGTGTGAGTAGAGTCCCTCCCTGACACCCACAGCAAAGCCAGGCTGATGCTGCAGGCTGGGTGGAGAGGGCTGCAAGGCTCCCTGACCATGGCCTTCAGATCAATTCTGAGTCAGAAAAGGAGGGTGACGTGGATCACCCAGTAAAGGACATCAGGTGCCTTCCTACCTGAAGGTGCTGAGCAAGAATACTACGACACACTCAGGAGCTGATGGAGGCCAGCCCCTCCCTGCCAGCTGGCGAACAGCCAGGCGAGCTCTGTCTCCTGAGCCTGTCCCCAGTAATGGTCTTTCCACTCTGGCACATTATGAGAGAAGCGGGGACAGAATAGTGAGTAGTTCATGATGCCACATTTATTTAATTTAAATACATTCAGCTTTCTGGGACAGCCTTAGTATTTGGGAGGGGAGGGAAAGAAGTGTTCAGATGTTCTTCTTTTAGGAAACGATAGTATTAGTGAAGGTTATGACAAGAGTTTGTGTTTTGTCTGTACAGTTCATTCAGCTTTTCTACTTACGTGATTAAAAAAAAAACCATTGCCAGCAAAGCACAAGTGTGGTAGCTGCCCCAGACTCCCCAATTGCTCCTGGTTCCTCACAGCCCGGTAGGGCTTCCTACTTTCTCTGGAGGATGGAATGTACCTCCCCTGCCACCTGTGTGGCCCTGGCATGTGAGAGGTGACCCACCGTGTGCCTGATCGTCTGAAGCACACTGTCTTCAATGCAAGGCCTTGAGATAGGACACATAGATCTTCTGCAGTAGAATGTAATCTGCTCTGTGGTCGCCCTGATGTGGTGGCTGGTTAGCTCAGTTGGTTCGAGTGTGGTGACCTATTCATATTTTCATGTGTATGTTGACAAGAATCCCATTTTGGAATGCAGAAGCCTCGTGGAATGCTAACTCAGTCCATGAACTAGAGTCTGTGCCGACTCCAGTGCAGAACCACCATAGGGTGATGGAAAGGCAAAACCTGGCCTGTGTTGGCTGTGGTGACAGGTCATCCAAACTGTTCTCAGGGGCAAGTTGACAAATGTAGCTCAGCTGCCTTTTGAAGGTCACAGCTCTGTGACCAGGACACAGGTTTCTTGTCTACAGAGGTCCTCCTATGCACTCCTCTGTGAGAGGCTGGTCCCATCCCGGGGCACCCAGATATGGCAAGGCAGGCAGGGGCGCTGGCTGCTGCCCCACCTCCACCCAGCCCCAGTCACCAGGGTTGAGCCTGCGCTCCACCCTGAGTTCAGGGTGGGGCAGTGACGGCCACAGCCCTTCCACTCCCATGTCCCAGAAGCAGTCTGGCTGGAAAGGAGTGTGGGCTGTCACTGATTCAGGTTCTGGCCCCGTACCTGTGTGTCCCAAACCCTGTTTAGACCAGAAAGGTAAGTGGACTCACGTGTGAGAGCCCCACAGAGGCTACTTGGCCTTAAGTCAGGACAGAGGGCAATGGGCCCAGCCAGCAGCCCCTACTTTCTAGGCCTTCTCTGGGGCTTAGAACTCACAACCATCCCAGGCCCATGGGGCAGGAAGGAACTTTCCAGAAATGCTAGTCTAAAGATTCTCAACCTTCACTGTTCAGATTTAAAACCCTGTGCTCCCCAGGTAACCCTAGGCCCTCCTGTTATGGGTAAGGAGCATCTAGGAGCTGAAGTGCCAGAATGCATTCTAGTCTAAACCCTTCCAGCAAGAAAACAGTAATCCAGAGACAACTCTCTGACCGGCCCTGCTTTAGAGAAGGGATGAAAGGGCCCAGCATGGTGGCTCACACCTGTAACCCAGCATTCTGGGAGGCGGAGGCAGGCAGATTGCTTGAGCTCAGGAGTTTGAGACCAGCCTGACCAAGAGCAAGACCCTGTCTCTACTAAAAAAGTAGGAAAACTGAGGCAGGAGGATCACTTGAGCCTAAGAGTTTGAGGTTGCTATGAGCTATAACAACGCCATTGTGCTCTACCCAGGGTGACAGAGTAAGATTCCATCTCAAAAAAAGAAAAAAAGAAAAAACAAATAAATAAAAGGATGAATGAAAATTACCTTCCCCAAGTGAAGGAACTCCCTGGGGGCCAGGGTGTAGCGAGCAGGGCTCCTACCTGAGTTGCAGGGCAGCAGGAGGTCCATGACCACGGAGTCGGCCCCCTTGGTGTAGACGCTGATCTCATCAGTGAGCGGGTGCCGGATCACCACCGACATCCTCTTGCGGATGGAGTCAAAGCCCAGTGTGTGCAGGAGTTCAAAGGTGAGCCGGCCCAGGTGGGGCAGCTCCACCGACACCTGGTCGTGCAGGCGATCCACCAGTGTGCAGTGGTAGGCCCTGGCTGCGTACACCAGCGCTGCCTCGTCGGGGCTCTCGGCCTCATACCGCAGCTCCAGCTCCTCCGGCTTTAGCTTGGGCTCCTGCTCCAGGGGAGGCTCCGTGACCCAGCCGTCCACTTGGCTGCCGTAGCCATTGGTGGCGACGGCTGGGGTGGGCGGGCTCAGCCTCTCGTCCAGCCTGAGAAGCGTGCTTTCGCTGGAAAGGCTGGACAGGAAGCTCGGTTTGTGGTTGGACTTGCAGGTGGACAGACTCCCGATGCTGCTGCAGCCTGCGGTCAGGCGGCTGGGGGTGAACCTGCGGAGGAAGTCTTCTATCGTCTTCACCGGGGACTTCAGCTCAAACCTCACTCTCACCTGCAAGCCGACAGTCAGAAGACAGGGGAGGGAATTGTTGCGTCCCTCAGAAGCCCCACCCTGGTTCCCACAGGACACTCCAGGTGCTTGGCAGGGTAATGACCTTGACTTCCCCACTGGGGGCTCAGGGTGCACGCTCCCCATTTCCCAGATTTTGGCAAGCACTAAAATTGCATCCAGAGATAGCATTTCTTCTAGTGGGCCTCACCCATTTCTCCTAATGAAGGTTATGCAATATTCTTCCAGAATGCACCCGGGGGCTCTGATGTGTGCCGAGGAATGTGCGGCTTGTGGTAGCCTGAAGGCTTCAGGGCTGTCTCCTCACTACAGTGGCCCCTTGCTTTGCATAAAAACCTCACAGGAGCGGGCTCACCATTGCCAGGTATAAACCTGGGCATTTTGGTTTCTTCTAATTAAAAAGCTACCTAACAGAAGGCCAGTTTATTATACATGCCTTTGAATTGTGTTCATAAAAACATTTAAATACAGGCAGTCCCCAGGATATAAATGAGATAGGTTTTGTAGGTTTGTTCTTAAGTCAAATTTGTATGTAAGTTGGAACAGGTCCATTTACCTATTACCTGTAATCGCCTCCATTCAGAAGTGGCAGTGGTACGTTAATTGGATGTTTGTAATTCGGGGACTGCCTGTATACAAATCACATTCCCAAGCCCCAAAGAGATCTTTCTAAGCACCTTTAAATACACAGATAGATCCAGGATCCAAATCATTAAAAAACAGTTTTACAATCACAGTAAGAAAAGAAATAAAATTTATATAAATGTATACACATACACATACTTGTTAAAGCTTCAAAAAGCTCGATGATGAAAAATGGAGCACACTTTTCTTAAAGAAAAAATGTTGAAACAACCGAAAACCTGAGTTATATTTATTCTTAAGTCTTTGTAGGTTTGCCCATGTGTGTAAAGTTGTGAATTACAGGCTGGGCACCGGAGCTTACGGTGGCTCACGCCTGTAATCCTAGCACTTTGGGAGGCTGAAGCAAGTGTATCGCCTGAGCTCAGGAGTCAGTGCTAGACCCCATCTCTAAAAATAGCCAGGCATTGTGGAGGGCACCTGGAGTCCCAGCTATTCGGGAGGCTGAGACAAGAGAATCACCTGAGCCCCAAAATTTGAGGTGATGCCATGGCACTGTATTGGGGGCAACACAGTGAGACTCTGTCTCGAAAAAATAAAATAAAGTTGTGAATTACAGTAGCAGTCTCCAGAAAAGTGAGGCATTTGGTAAATAAGGTGCAAAAGACCAGATGTTGATGCCCTACAATTGCTTCATCTTTGGCCTCATAGCATAGACTTTCAATGTACCACACATCTGGGCGGGGCACAGCAGCCACATCACAACCCCCGCCAGCTCCAAATGCCTTTGCAGGTGGAGCTTGCCAGTAAGTGGGCGGACAGCAATGTATCCAGAGACTTGTTCATCTGCAGCCTGAGGTTGGGCAACGAAGCATTCTGCTCCCTACATGGAGGTCAAAGTACAGGTAACCTTCAGTTATGGGCATGCCTCAGGGATACTGGGGGCCTCTCATTTACTCAGCAACTGTGACGTTGCTTACTACAGGCCAGAAGGGCTAGACTGTGGGGTTGGGGGAGCCCAGAGGTCAGAGGAGGGGCTCGGAGGCAGCCAGGGGATAAGATTTGGCAGGAAACTGCTCTGGTGCTCAGCTGGCTGGCAGCACAGACCTGTGGTCTCTGAGTGGCCAGACCTGACTACCTGGGATCCCCTGGGTCCACTGGGGAATCAGCAGGATGGTGTGGCAGGAGCTGCTGCCAGACACTGACACAGCACAGACCACCTCATTCACCCCATGACATGTGTTGACAGCTCTCTGAGAGCAATCTGCTGGAAGGGCTGGCCCGGGAACACAGAAGGTCGGGAGGCAGGCATACAGCACATCCCAGCCCTGGGGCACCTCCTATTTTAACTTTTCAAAGCTGCCTGGCTCCACATCCAATGCAGGACTTTCTGAGAGGTACCTGGGTGACACAGGTACTTTCACACACACAGCCTTTCCTCTCCTTGCAGAGAATATGTTAGGCTAAGCCAAAACCAACCTGGGTACTCTTTCCTCTACCCTAAATAGCCCTTTTGGAGGACAAGGTTAAATGTACCTTAACATCAGGATACATCTGCCATGAGCCACACTGGGCTCCAAACCCTCTCTGTAAATCCTCATTGCCCTGAGAGGACTGACACCAGGGAAGCCGCAGGGATGGCTTGGGTGCTGTGGGCTTCCAGGGACACTCCAGAACTTGCCTTTTGTCGTGGCTGATCTGGGGACGTGACAACTACGGTGTTGCAGATGGTAAGCGCGATGAAGAAGTCGAAAACATCAGACAGCTCTGGCGGGAGGTGGGCCAGCGGGTGCTCCTGGTGCCGCGCCAGGGACAGGCACCTGTCACACTCACTCACCTTCTCCAGCAGCTTTGGGTCGGGAGTGATGTCTTTCTCCTGAGAAGCAGAGAGGCCAACAATCGGTGAGCATGACCCAGGGACGTGCCAGCGTCTTGGCACTTGACTACTTAAGGCCACCCTGATTTTATTATAAGCGGTAAACAGAACATCTCACATGAATATATACCATGCTATAACTGTACGTTATTTATAATTCTAGTGGTATAAAAATATATAACTTACATATGAAAAATGCATATATTCTTATTATGTATAACAAAAGATACATGTTTTTTAAAATAACATATCTTAGAATATCTTCTCATAAAAGGACATGTGTTACTCTAGAAAAATTTTAAAACTCTGCACCACACCACCCTAGGAAATAATATCTAAATGCTTCTGCATTCCTCTCAGTCTTTTTTCTCTACATGTAATTTTTTTTTTTTTTTTTTAGAGACAGTCTCACTTTGTTGCCCTCAGTAGAGTGCTGTGGCGTCACAGCTCACTGCAACCTCTAGCTCTTGGGCTTAGGCAATTCTCTTGCCTCAGCCTCCTGAGTAGCTGAGACTACAGGTGCCCGCCACAACACCTGGCTATTTTTTTTTTTTCTGTTGCAGTTTGGTCAGGGCTGGGTTTGAACCTGCCAACCCTCGGTATATGGGGCCGGCGCCCTACTCACATAATCAAAATATTTTATGTACATATTGGCGATCTCAATTTTTCCCCCAAACTATTATTCTCTGAACTTTTTTTTTTTTTTGAGACAGAGTCTCAGTCTGTCACCCCAGGTAGAGTGCTGTGGTGTCCTAGCTCACAGCAACTTCAAACTCCTATGCTCAAGTGATCCTGTTGCCTCAGTCTCCTGAATAGCTAGGGCTACAGGCACTTGCCACAATGCCTTGCTCATATTTTAGAGATGGAATCTCACTCTTGCTCAGGCTGGTCTTAAACTCCCAAGTTCAAGGGATACAACCGCCTTGGCCTCCCAGAGTGCTAAGCTTACAGGTGTGAGCCACCAAGCCCAGCTCTTGTCTGAACCTTTTCCAGGCTTTTAAGAATTAGTTGAAAACACATTTTTTGACATCATATGTACCACAGTTTATTTGATCATCCATTTATAACTGGATATTTAAATTTCCTTCACTGCTTTGCCAACGTGGGCAACACATAGATAAACTGTGTGCATCAATCTCCGCGTTAATCATTGCTAGTTGTGAAAGTCTGAATACTTCAGATATTCTTGATAGGTATTGAAAAATGCTGTCAGGAACATCTGGTCCCTGGTCGTTTGGCTCCTGCCAAGCATGAGGGCTCCCCACTCCCAGGGGCTCTGTACAAACCACTGATCGGGGCCATACTTCCAGATCACTCTGAAACAGCAACTTGTCTGCAGGTTTAGAAGGACATAAACAAACAAAACCACCACAAAGTGAGCAGATGGGTCTTTCCCTCTGTTCTTAAAATGTTTCAGAAGTGGGGCGGCACCTATAGCTCAGTGGGTAGGGCGCCGGACTCATATACTGAGGGTGGCGGGTTTGAACCCAGCCCGGCCAAACTGCAACAAAAACTAGCCAGGCATTGTGACGGGCACCTATAGTCCCAGGTACTCGGGAGGCTGAGGCAAGAGAATCGCCTAAGCCCAGGAGTTGGAGGTTGCTGTGAGCTATGACGCCATAGCACTCTACCAATGGCGATAAAGTGAGACTCTGTCTCTTAAAAAAAAAAAAAAGTTTCAGCAGTGAAAAGGTCTTTTAGAGGCCATTACTTACTTCTGGAAATTTCATGAGTGCCAGGGTAGCTAATAACCAAAGAAGAAAGGAGTTGTACTATATTTGGGCTCATCTAATTGCAACTTTTTTGAGGGGAACTGGCTTTGCCTTTTCCCAGTTGTCATCTTGTTCTGCTGATGTTTTATTCATTTCATTTGGCAGGAGGGGCTTCCTCTCCATCTGCGAGGCTCCATGGCCATCACCCAGCCTCACCGGCTATGGCAAAGGGGCCTTGTCAGTGTTTTGGAAAAGATACCACAGTGCAGAGAGGTGTTGGCCAGAAAATCTTCTGCTCACTGAGCACAGCCAAACCACCAACCAATGATGTATTTGTATGATTCAATATAGACACTTTTCTGGGGTTTCGGGGAGAGGGGTTGTTTTTGTTTTTGTTTTTGAGACAGAATCTTACTCTGCCACCCTGGGTGCTCATAGCAACCTCAAACTCTCGGGCTTAAGCGATTCTCTTGCCTCAGCTGCCTGAGTAGTTGGGACTGTAGGCATGTACTACCACGCCAGGCTAATTTTTTCTATTTTTAGTAGAGATGGGGTCTCATTCCTGTTCAGGCTGGTCTTGAACTCCTGAGCTCAAGCATTCCTCCCACCTTTGGCTCCCAGTGCTCGGATTATAAGCGTGAGCCACTACGCCCAGCCTCAATATTGACACCTTGGACAAACTGGGTGAAATGACAACAGGGTAGGAAGGTGGCAATTGATGGGCCAGGCTATGGTGGGACAGCTGGGCATGCAGGCCCTGTGCACTCACCATGGGACTGCTGAAGGCCGTGCGCTTGGACAGTATGCCCACTCTCTTGGCCTCAGCCCGGTTGCCTGTGCGCCAGTGGGATTTCATGCTCTGGGGTCTATGTGTCATCCGAACACTCTGGTGGCTCCCAATGCTGCCTCGCTGGGATGCTAAGCCCCCTCTGGGCATCACCTCCTCTTCCTCCGAGTCGGCCTCCTGGTACCTGGCCAGACGCTGGGCTGTAGGGAGAGGAACGCGGGCTGAGACACTGTGAAGCAGGCTAGGCATACTGAACTGATTCAGAGTGTCTGAGGTCCCAGGAGGCTCTGGCAGGCTTCCCTGGAGCACTCCCCACCCTTGCTCTCCATGGACAAGGCACAGTGAAGGAATATTCTCACTTATCTGCACCCTTAGTCAACCTGAGGACTGATATTCTCAATCCCATTTCACAGAAGAGAAGACCAAGTCTCATCTTAGAAAACTTAAGGAGCTTGCTAAGGTCACACCACGCGTGGGCAAGGTACTTGGGACAGCCCAGGTGTGCACGGGAGCGGGAGGGCAGGTGGCCTTGAAGAAGACAGGGTAGATGGTAAAGGCCTGGCCCACACACTGAGTCCCAAGGATCTACCCATAGCCCCAGGTGTCATGGATCCACCTGCTTCCCTGTGGCCTTCCAATTGCATAGATGACAGTGCCCATGCAGTCACGGCCACCTTGCTCAGGGCCACGTGTGTGTCAGGAAATCTGCTCCCAGCCCCTGTCCAGGTGACGCACTGTGGCAGAGGGAGGCTCACAGTGCCCCTAGACCTCACAGCAGGGTGCAGGGTCAGGGCTGGAGCCAGCCGCAGAGCTCCAATGAGGAGGATCCTGACTGCAATGCTACCCTTGAGTCTTCAGGGGGCCTTGCTGAGCAACACCCCCATGGCCAAGTGAAGGTGCCTGTGCTAGGTTTCTTGCTAACCAAATGCTCTGAATGAATGTTCCTGGATTTGTCCAGTTAGGACAGCTCGTTTCATCAAGGATGAGCAACAAGGAGGCCATTCATAAAGCATATTCATTCCAAGCAAGTGCTCAGTCACAACTGGAAGGTCATAAAGAAGGCACCCAACACCAGGGGCCCACCGAGAAGTATGAAAACACGGTGGCCCTGGAGCCGGCCAGCCACATGGGCCAGGCCTTTACACGGAACATCTCTTAACAGACCTTCTTTTGGACATGAGAAGGGGACGTCACCAGCCCACCCTTGTGAGGCTGTGTACTTGCTACCACCAGGATTCCTCCTCAGGGAACAAAACTTCTCCCAAACCTTACCAGCTCTCAGATGACTTAAGGCCCAGTTTACTGGGCAGCAAGGAGCGCAAAGCCAGGACAGGTGAATAATCAGTATGGGCGTAAGGAGCTTGGATCCAGTGTCTAGGAAGGCCACCAGCTCTCACCACCTGGCCCCAGCAGAGGTCATGGATGCCAAGACTCAGTGCAGTCCTCCCTACTCTTCCTAGGAGGGGCAGGGACCAGGCTGAGGCTCTTGCTGGTGTGTGGCTAGTCTGAAGCAATTTCTGACCAGCAGTGGCCTCGGATATCTTTGATGTCCTCAGGAAAGATGAGGCCCAAGGAATGGTATGTCCAGCCCTGAGCATATATGGTTAGCCGGCTCCAGGTCACCCGGTGAGGTCAGAGAGGGGCACACACTCCAGGTTTCCATGCCCAGTTCTGGTTGTGAGCTGTGGTCAGTGCTCAGAGCCTCCCTGATGAGTCCCCGAGAGGCTAGATCACTGGATTAACTGGCTGAAGACACTCTCTGCTCTGGGTGCCTGTTAACCACTGATCCAGGATTTCTTTAAAACACACCACCGAGATGCACAGTGGCTTCACTTCTTGAGCACAAATGCTCTCTGTGTCTCTGGAGACAATGGAACCCTCTGGATTTATGGTAAGCATTGGACAACTGTTAAAATCTTTCTCTAACTTTACGATTCTGCCCCAGGGAACCTCAGGTTCCAACTTTATATTATTACCTTTAAAGCTTCTTATTTCTGAAAAATCACAATTGCATAAAGTGATGGGGCGCAATGTGGTGTTTTTATATATTTATATAATGTGGCATCATTCAAGCGAGCTAACTAACATATCAACTACCTCACCTGTGTATCTTTTTATGGTGTAACACTTGACATTTATACAGTGATTTTGAAATATATAATACATTATTGCTGGCTATAGTGACCCCCTGTTTAATAGATCTCAAAACCTACTGCTTCTGCCTATCTGACCATGGGTCCCAAGTTCGAAAGGCTGCTGCAGAGCTGACTGCGCAGGTCTCGGACTCCTTTACAACTCCGCTGAGTTTTGCTTTCAAGACAAGCACACAAATGACGGAGCTGCACCAAGTTTAGCAGCTACAGAAGGGGAAAGGGAGGAGGGAGAAGGGATGATGGAAGGAGAGTGGAGGGAGGGAGGATGGTGAGTGGATAGAATACCATCACTGACAGCCTAGTTTGGGTGGCAAAGAGAACATTACACAGAACAGGTAACTTCCTGTGTCTCTGTTTAATCCAGCTATTTTAATTTTATAAGGAAGAAGACGGTGGATTATCATAATAATTCTTGCTTTTATATAACTCATGAAGTTTTCCAACAGATTCTTCCCACCAAATCCCTCTAAAGGACAGCTACCTATATCTTCCCATTTGATGACCCCACCTCCCCTATTTTATATCTGCCCTTTTTTTTTGACAGTCTTTGTTGCATGGGGGGGGGTCCCCTTACATATCACCCCTCCTGGAGGAGGTTGGGGCAGCTGGCTACAGTCTTGTCATTGGCTCCCAAAGGTGGGGGCTCCTCTGAGCCTTCAGGGAGGAAGGAGGCCACAAAAGGCAAGGAGATAAGGAGTGGAGAGGTGGGAGGCAGGACCACCTAAACGATCGGAAGTGAGCCATTCATTTCTTTCCAGGTCCCAGGGACACAGTGCTCCCAGGGAAAGAATGCAGCAGATTACTCAATGCCCTTCTGAGAATTTCTGGCCAACTGACAGGAAGATGGCTGGGTGATAACAGAAACATCTCTTTGTTAGTGAGGCAGAGTAAAGCAGCTGGCTGCCTCAGAGGTGAGGCCCGTCCTGGAGACCTTGCCTGGCTACTTGTTTGCCTGGCAGAAGATGAGGGCTTAAGATGCCGACACTGCAGAGAGCAGGATGTCAGCAGTGCACAGTGCCTTTCTATAAATAGCACTGGCTTCAGCTCCCGAGCAGCTCTGACAGCCTGTCTTTATGCTCCTCTGAAAAACAGCAATCCTGAAGCTTATGGAGAACGTGTGTGCATGTGTGTGTGTCCACGTGCAGCTCTAGATGTACCAGTTTTCTAGTCCAGCCCACTCTGGAAGCCCCCCACACCCAGACTCACCATTGGCATCATGAGAATATTCCACGCCAGACACGGTGCATCTCCGGAAAACCATCTTATTCTCGGTTAAGGTGCCAGTTTTGTCGGAGAAGATGTATTGGATCTGCCCCAAGTCCTCCGTGATGTTCAGGGCGCGGCACTGCAGCTGCGAGTCTGTGTCCTCGTCGTACAGCTCCATGTCCTGGTTGATGAAGTACACCTGGCATACCTTCACGATTTCAATGGACACGTACAAGGAAATTGGGATCAAAACCTGGAAGACACGCGGCACACGGGATGCCGGACTGTGAGGACCGGGGCCTGGGGAGCGAGTCCATGTGACTTCAATACAAAAGACTACACCACAAACACAGAGGGACCATACTGTACCTTTAAAAGCTTAAATAGGTTGGTTTAGAGTCACTATTGGAAAAGTATGAGAGTACTGGCAAAGAGTTTAAAACTAGGACAGCCTAGGGTGTGGCTGCAGAGCAGAAATCCGCTGTGGTGTCTGGGAGTGTGGTGACCGTGGCCTGGACAGAGGCAAGCGTTTTCGTGTTACTAATTTGTGCTTGAGAAAAGCTAGGAAAGGAAAGAGAGAAAAGAGAAAAAAACAACACAGCATAGTCAGAATTCTCTTACACAAGGCTAGCAGGCCCCTGGGGGGACACGATACCCAGGCCTTCCCTGGGCTGCGAGTACAGGAGCTGTCCGTTCCCCACGGACACGACCCCACAGTTCAGCGGGTGGCCACCAATGCAAAGGGCCATCTTTTTCTCAGGTGCTGCTTCTGTGTTTGAAGCACAATTTTCTGTGATCTCATCCAATGCAGGGCAAAGGGAAGAAGGCTTTGAGAAAAATATTCAAGCGAAGCCTTCCTAATTTAAAAACCATCTCCTAGAAATTAATATTTATTTTCTTATTGATTTTTGTAGAGTAACAGAATTATTTGCCAGCTCAGAGCATCATACCCAGACCCACTGGCTTCTCCTGGGCATATACCGATGTTAATGGAACACCAACTATAGTCCTAACTCTAGGTTAGGACGAAATTTTGCATCTACAAAAAAGACTAATTTGGAAAGTTGAGCAAGGCTGTTTCCTGTTGTATGAAGCACATATATAAAGAGACAGCAGAGCTTCTCTCGTAGGTGAAGGGGAAGCAAATGTCCCCTGGTCACGCTGTACGCTGTGTCCCCAAGAAGCTCAGCAGTAACCCTCACTACACTTCTCACCTTTTGGAACTCTGGGACCTCCCCCAAACTTGAACACACCTTTTGGGGCATAGATTCTCAGTTACTGCGTGGGAGTTGTTGGGGAGGCCTGTGAATTAATTAAAAGAGTAGTAATAACAAGCAATGCCTGTAAATGTGACGTGATGCCTTGAGCTGAGTCGTCCTCAGACAGAAGCAAGCACACGGAGGCTAGTGGAGTGCCGGATGAAGAAGTCTGCAGTTTAACTCAAAGCTAAGTACCAAGTGGGTTTTCACGATGTACCACAATAAGGTAACACATTCACAATGGGGGAAACTGGGTGGGGGCATATGGGAAGTCTCTGTATCAGGCTTTGCAACTTCTCTTTAATTCTCAAAGTTATACCAAGATGAAATTTATTTTAAAAAAATAACTGAGAGGAGGAGCGGTGCCTGTGGCTCAAAGGAGTAGGGTCCTCCTACTCCGGCCCCATATGCCTGAGGTGGTGGGTTCAAACGCAGCCCCGGCCAAAAAAAAAACAAAAAACCTGCAAATAAATAAATAAATAACCGAGAGGAAAAACAACAAAATGAAAACAGAGACCCAAAGCAAACCCTCAGAACAGAAGAACCTTAAGAACAGCAAAGGAGGCTCGGCGTCTGTGGCTCAAGTAGCTAAGGCGCCAAACATGGTAGGTTCGAATCCAGCCCGGACCTGCCAAACAACAATGACGGCTGCAACCAAAAAATAGCCAGGCGTTGTGGCGGGCACCTCTGTGGTCCCAGCAACTTGGGAGGCAGAGGCAGGAGACTCACTTGAGCCCAGGAGTTGGAGGTTGCTGTGAGCTGTGAAGCCATGACACTCTACCCAGGGGGGATAGCTTGAGGCTCTGTCTCAAAAAAAAAAAAAAAAAAAAAAAGAACAGCAAAGGAGAATTTTAACTTGAAAATCACCCAAAGAAAGACTTTATAGATAAATTAGGTAGAAAAATCAAAAGCAAAGCTTCAGGCAGATAGCTCTGTGGTCCTCAATTTATAGAAAATCCTCAGCAGAGTGTGATGACTTTTTAAGTCCTCTTCAGAAAAGTAAAGGAATTGCAGTGTGACACTTGGCATTGTTACCTGCAGAACTATTATCATTGTCAAGAACGAGTAAACCGCCGCTGTGACTGGGGATAAAGAGCTTCCGTCGGACTCAGGGACGTCAAATAATGATTTCTTCTCTTGATACCGCCACACCCACAATCCATGTCCTGCAGTGACGTTCAAAGAAAAACAGGGTCCATCCAACAGAGAGATAAGAACACTGACAGTGTAAAGTACAGTATGACCCGGCACGAGCACAGCCGAGTTTATTAGCTTGCCGTGCCGGGTCACAGGGCAAGAGCATGACATTCTTGGCAGCCACGACCACACAGTGGGAAGGAGCTGGGACTCGGACTCTCCCTCGCACCAAGGGTTACCCACTGTGGGGGCCCAGCTGTAGGAATTACATGTGTGCGGGCAGGTGACAGCGTGAAGCCCTCAGAAAGGAATTTCCTTCCCAAGAAGTGCAAACACAACCAGTAGGCTCTGGGCACTCTCCTTGGAGATTCAAAATTCATGTATTGGGACTCTGGAAAGCCATTGGTAGTATAATTATGTAATCAGCCGGGCTGCACACCTATCTGATCACAGAAGCCCACTTCACGTCCTGCACACCTGTGTTGAACATGCACAGACTTTATCTTCCTTGTCATCATTCCCTAAATAATACAGTGTCACAACTAGTGTTTACATCATAGTAGGTACCGCAGATAATGCAGAGATGACCTAAGGAGCAGGGGAGGATGCGCATGGTTTATATTTAAATGCCATACTATTTTATATACGTGGCTTGAGCATCCGTGGATTTTGATATGGTCAAGAGTTTTGGAATCAATACTCCCAACCCTGGATACACAGTCAGTCACCTGGGCATCTCTACATGGCCAGGGTGATGCACACAGATCTTGGGTTCAGTAAAAATGCATCTTTTAGCTGTAGGCTGAGGACGTCCAGGCGCCCACCACACTGGCCTGACTGTTTGGGATCCATCTAGGAAAACTTACCGATTGCTGAAAACAGAGACATACAAACGAGGAGAAGGACACACCAGAGCACATCACAGTTCATCTGCCTCTCAAGCTGGCTGCGCTTATAACGAGGCCCACTGTTGTTCAGCAGGGCCTTGGTTTCGTGTCCTGGGAGGGAGGACAGAGGGAAGTGGTGAGCCAGTGCCCGGTAGCCAAGAGATGCACTGCACTGACTTTGTGTGAATTACTACACTGCCACCCAAGATGCAGGGTATAAAACTAACCTTCCATATGGAAGAACCACAGAGAAACTAACAGACAAGAAACACATGAACACGCCTTGGGAGAGCACTTTAGGTTGAGTTATTGTCTGAAGAATCTTTGCTAGTTTTCCAAATGTTCTACATGGGTTTGTTACTCTTACAATCAGAAAAAAATGAGGGAGAGCTGTGCAGGAGTGCCAAGCTGTCCCGGTGAGGTATCCGTCCCACCTGCATAGATGACGATGCCCGCGACAGCCTCGGTGTTCCTAATGGTGCATCCTCGAAGCAGCAGGTTTTCTTTATGGAGTCCAGCCTTCTTCCCATTATCGTGTATGCTGTGAAGGAACGGCTGGCATCAGGCACCAGGCTGCACACGTGGGCCTCCTGCCTCCAGCAGCCCTGCCCGATGCACAGAAGCTCAGGCAACCCGATGGGCCAGGACTCCACCAAGAGTGGGTGGCTGTCTCAGCAGGTCTCTGTAGGAGCTGGACAGGTGCTGACTAGTAACTGGACACCTGAAGCAGCTCAAGAGCCTGATGTCTGTTTACTTTGCAGATGGGCTTTTCACTCCAGGACTGACACCACAACACCTGCCCCCATGCAGGACAGAGCTGGGAAGCCAGCCAGGGAGGGCCCCGCTCGGTGGTCTCAGCACAGAAAATCCTCCTCCTCATCAGTACCTCAAGTTGTAACAGAAATACAAGTGTCTGTTTCTGTACGAAGGGGGATGGTTTTAGCAACACTTTAGCATATCCTTTTTTCTTATAAAAAGTCATAAGGTCATTAGAAATACTAACATTTTTAACTTGAAATGTGCTAAATTTCATGAGACAGTTTTATAAATAGTTTCACTAATGTTTAAAGTCAGAGGGATAGTCCAAAGTTAAGGCCCCCCCGCCCCCCCGCCCCCAGCTAACAAATGACCCACGCCAGCCAGGGCAGGTCTGTGCTAGGGCCACACTGCCCTAGACAAAGCTCCTGGGGCCTGATGTCACAGGTCACAAGGGAAAGTTCCCCTGGATGCTTCTGGAACTACAGCAGCAGCCTAGGTTAATGCACCCTGGGTAATGACATCAAGAGGGGCCTCCAAGGGGCCACCTTTCTGCACCATCAGTGAGCTGTCCTCATCACACCCCACCCTGCACACCCACAGACCAAATGCCTCCTCTAGTTCTCAGCAGCTCACCAGGCATCAGTCACCCCTATAGGATTTTCCCTCTCCTAGGGCAATCTCCCCAGGGGGATAAATGTATGTCCTGGGGAAGAAGAGAAGGCAGGCACTGAAGGCAAGACTGAAACGCACACGGGGAGGACACACTTTCTGCAAGGCTGTTATTCACCACACAGCGACAGTACTTCTGCAGAGCAAATAAACGCAAAGGGCTGTTCAACCAACACTGCGTCAACAGCCCCCTTTGTAGTTCCAAGAGAGTGAGTTTGCTTTAAAGAAAGCTTTAAGGCTGAAAACCTCAGTGCCAGCTAAAGCATCAAGAGCCTGGCGTGGATCAGACATGGTTACGTACTAAACCCTGCTCCGTGCTTCTGCAGTGAGGATGCCCATCACCTGTCTCCCAGGGACATCTCTCCAGGAGCAGCCACACAAAGGCGTGATTGCTCCGGGACAGCAGAAATAATGAATTATCCCAAACAGATGCACTCAATGGAAACAAGAAAAGTATTTCACACGAAGTGTTCTGTGATGTTACATACACCCTGTAACAACTTCAGTTCTTTCTAATCAGCCCAGGTCAGGACCATGGCTGGAAGGACAGCAGAGTGGACATGAACAGACAGGGATGCACTCCTGAGCAAATGGCCCCCAAATCAGAGAGGGAAGGGAGGCTAGAGACCATCTCAGACTTGAGAGAGGGCCAGGCCAGGGACAGCGGAAGCCCAGGCCCAGCAGGTGAGAAGCTTGACTCTAGGAAAACACCCATCAGAGTGTGACCCCTCCAGACTTGCGCTCATGTTTTTGTGTTATAGGCTGAACTGTGTCCCTCGAGTTCTTGTGTTGCAGCACTAACCCCCAGAATCTCAGAGTGTTCCCTCACTGGGAGATCGGGTCTTTAACCAGTCACATTGGATCAGGGCCCACTCTAATGGCCTCACTTTAACCTAGTCACCTCTTTTTTTTTCATTTTTTTATTATGATCTATTATGTCCTTATAAAAAGGGGAGATGAGGGGGCAGACACACACAGAGGGCTGACCACGTGAAGACACAGGGAAAGCCATGAGAGAGGCCCCAGGAGGCCCACTGAGGTCAGACTTCCAGCCTCCACAATTGTAAGACCTTCAACTTCTGTTGCCAATGCTGCCCAGGCTGCCGTGGGACTGTTTCAGCAGCCCCAGCAGTTGCATACGCCCGCACCCTCTGCTGTCGGCCACGCGCACGAGAGCCTGCCTCCTTGTACTGCTCCGTGTCTTGATTCATCAAACTAATCTCTTCCAGATCAAAAGTGTCTAGAAGGAAAACTGGGTGAGAGGACTGTCTGGTGACCAGATCTACTGTCCACTGCAGGCTTCCTTGGGAAATGGCAGTTTGGCTGATGGATGTCCTGCCCAGCTTTTCTTTCTCAGATGTTACATCTTCCTGACTACCCTTGCTGATGGTAAACAGCCTCATTCGTCGGAGCCCCAGCACACAGAGAGGTGAGCACCAGCCTGTGCTGATAGGGGCCTACACAGGAGTGCAGGGCTAACGTGCTCAGGGTATATCCCCCAAAGCCATAGGCATGGCACCCAAGTCCAGGAGACTTGGAGAGATTCTTCCCCAGCTCATGTCACCTGCAGCACCAGGGTCTAGCCCTCTGCCCTGCTATACCTTGGGTGTGGCTCCATGCTGGCCTCGGGTACCTAGGCCAGAAACCTGGGTGTCCATGACCTCCTACCGTTTTCACACCCAGGGAAACACCAGCCCTCCCGTGCACCTGCTCTTCATCTATTTCCCAACTCATGACCCCTTCACCATCTCCATACAGTGCCTCCCCCATTAAGGCATCCACATTTCTCCCCTGGAGCCCACCTCACACCCTGTGGCCCACCTCACGCCCTGTGGCCCCGACACCGGCAGCCTGGGTCCTCGCAGTGGTGTCTCGGCATGCATGGTGAATGCCGCAACGTCCAGGAGCATCCTTTTGTAGGCTCCTCATGTACTCTGCAACCCCTTCCCCCTCCAGGGCAGGCTGGGCCAGATTCCACAGTTATCAGGGAGGGTCTCAGTGTCCAGCTCCCACGCCCTCCCATCTGGAGACTGCTGCAGTCTTCTCTGCTTCCCTGTCTCTACTTCCACACACGGGGTCCCCATCTCGCTGCACTTGGCACCCAACACCAGCTTCAGTGCCTCACCCTGAGCTCCAGCTGGGTCCATCCAGTGCAGGAGTGGGTGAGCATTAGAGGGAGCCCTGGCTTGCTGTGCCCCTTGACCAGGGCTGTGAGTCTCTCCAGGTGATGTCCTTGAGGAGTCCCCAGGGGCCATTTTTCCCCACTGGACATCCTGGTGGTGATAGCTCAGGTGTCACTAACTCAGAACCTGCCGCTATCTTCTCAGAGTCCCCTAAACCCCACCCACTCCTGCAGAAATGTACTCTTGGCAAAAAACCCCTCTATGAATGTGAATCTGAGTGCAGGATCTGTTTCTTGAGGAGACCCTGACTGACATAGGTGGGGAAGAAGGAATGACACATAACTGATAGATAATTCCTCCCACTGCCAAATCCTGAGCAGGATATTTATAATAATAAGTTGCTCATGTATTTGTTTATCTAAAGGAAATATGTGCAGAAATCACTAAACTGTGAGTTTTGAGCTGATGCTCAATCTTCTTGAAATGCATATTTATCAATTAAGGTGCCAAGATAATAGGAAATTTTCCAGTTTTAAAGAGTCAGTTGATGTAGCTACAGTTCACCTAGTGCCTGGTCACAGACAGTGAGGACATTCCAGACACCCCAAAGCTTCCTCCAGACACCAGGTGGATGGGGATGAGGACAGTGACAGTTCCATTGTTAGCAATGGCTCTGCTGCTATTACTAATGATGATCCCTGGAGGTGTCACCTTCCAGGGCAGGGAGGCTGCCCCAAGAAGCACACCATGGTCTCCCGGTGGTAGAGAGGGGCCAGCCCCACCTGGTCACATGTGGCTCTCCAGCACACAGGAAGGAAGGCTCAAAACCCTGCTCTGGGGGGGGGGCGCTGTGGGGCAAGGACAGAGCTGTGTGAGAACAGGGTGACTACACGTGTATCAGACAAAATAGACTCCCAAAAACTACCCGAAGAGACAAAAATGGTGATTATATAATGGAAAAGGGTCAATTCAACAGGATGATGTAACCACTGTAAATATAAACACAACCAGCATCAAAGCACCTACATCAGTATACGGAGCAGACATGGCAGGAGAAACAGAGGATTCCACGTGAAATGGAATTTTACATCAGATGGCTGACCAGCAAACCTTTCTGCTAGGGAAAGTGCAGAAGTTCAACTCATTCTTAGCTTCAAAGATCACTTGAAAGTATGTCATGACATACCATGCTCATGGCTGGAAAGAATCAGCATTGTTAAAATGTCCATACTACCCAAAGCAATATATAATTTTAATGTAATCCCTATTAAAGCTCCACTGTCATACTTTAAAATTCTTGAAAAAATAATACTTCATTTTATATGGAATCAGAAAAAAACCTCGAATAGCCTAGACATTACTCAGAAATAAAAACAAAGCTGGAGGAATCACACTACCAGACCTCAGACTATACTATAAATCGATAGTTATCAAAACAGCATGGTACTGGCACAAAAACAGAGAGGTAGATGTATGGAACAGAATAGAGAGCCAACAGATGAATCCAGCTACTTACCGTAATCTGATCTTTGACAAGCCAATTAAAAACATTCAGTGGGGAAAAGATTCCCTATTTAACAAATGGTGCTGGTCGAACTGGCTGGAGACCTGTAGAAGACTGAAACTGGACCCACACCTTTCACCATTAACTAAG